ATTCATTCCGGAGCGAAGCCAGCAGTCCGGACCGAGGGTTCCGAAGTCAGCTGACCATTCCGAAGCGACCATAGACGAGGTTGTCCAGAGTCAGGAGTTCCAAGATTGTGAGGTGGTCCGGATGAGAGGCTTCCGTGGTGCAACTCCTCTTGGTTTCCTTAGAAGGCATTCCGGACCAAGAGGGTTCCGAACCAAGAGGTTCCGGACCACGAGGGTCCTTTTGGGGTTTTCTCTTCCGGTTTTGAGTTATTTTCGACTAAGGAAGATATTTAGGGAGATTTAAGAGAGATTTGAGATACATGGAGAGATTTGGGAGAGATTTCACATTCTTGGAGAGATGTGATATTCTTGGAGAGATTTAGGAGAGATTTCACATACTTGGAGAGATTTAGGAGAGATTTCACATTCTTGGAGAGATGTGATATTCTTGGAGAGATTTGAGAAAAGACTTCATTTTCTTGGAGAGATTTGATATTTTTGGAGAGATTTGGGAGAGAGAGAGAGAGATACAGGGGGAGAGATTGGAGATACTTTTTCGAGAGCCTTTATTAGTGTTTTTCTTTGTAGTGCAAGGTCCATAGACTTAGATACATTCTATTTTGAGTGTTATACACCCCCGAAGGGCACTCAATAGTGCTTTAAAGAGTTGTTACTTCCGTAAATCAAATTAGGGTTTTAAATTTTGAACTTTTGAGACTTTTAAGTGTTACTTTTCATTAGGAATTATAGTCGAACATTAGGAAACATAAATAATCTCCTAACATATAAGCACTAGTTGAGTTGACCAAATGGTCCGTTGACCTTGACTTGACTTTGACTTTGACTAGATGTTTTCCGGTTGTCACAATATCAAGTCTGATGTCTGGAATGTGGGGGTAGAGGATGTACAATCCTTGCTAAAGTGACTGGTCTTGTCGCACTTGTAGCAGTCGGATGATCCCAATCTACAAAACACCTCATGGGTCTTGTCGCACTTTCCGCAGCGGCCCTGACCGTGTTAGCCCTTCGACCTAGTGTCAGATCCCTTGGGCTTCTTCCCCGAAGCCCCAGTAACATGTTTATCTCCTATCTTCCTCTTCCTAAGGTGCTCTATATCAATCTCCCTCTCCCTCGCCCTCACAATCATGTCATCCAATGTCAGACATGCCGAGTAGCTGACATATTTCCGAATGTCAGCTCTTAACATGTCATGATAGCGGGACTTCTGCATCTCCTCATCCCCCGCATACTAAGTCACCAATAAGGCCCTCTCTCAAAACTTGACGGTAATCTCTGCTACTGTCTCTATCACATGTCTCATGTTAAAAAACTCTCTGGCTAGCTGCTGAAGCTCCACAGCCGGTGCAAAGTCAACCCTAAACCTGGCCATGAAATTCGACCAAGTCATAGATTCAATGGCTTAGGCCCCTAGTGAATCACCAACTAATTCCCACCAATCTCAAGCTATGTCCCTCAAACAACCTCGAACATACCGGACCTTCAACCGCTCGGGGCAGAAGCTCGTCAACTAAGCAAACTCCATGTCTGCGATCCACCTCCTGGTAACAATGGGGTCCTTCACCCGATGGAAGTATGGCATACCATCTCCCTTGAAGTCCTTGAAGGAGAGTGTACGTGTCCTTGTCTGGCCAGATGCCATGTCGCTCCTGAACACCCTAAGGCGATCCTCCATCAGCTCGACAATCCCCTCCTTTATCGACCTAAAAATCATCAAGGTCGCCTCAAGGATAACTCTGGTGATCTCTGACGCAATGAACTCACACAGTCTCTTATCAACTGGTTCGGAACCCGAACCCGAACCTAATCCTGATCCCGACCCTGATCCCAATCCTCCTGCTCCGTGATGCGTAATCATCACCATTCTGAAACAAAAACATACAATTATCAGGATCATACATAATCTCGAGAGATTCTACACACTTTACAAGTTCCTTGGTTCTACCTCGACCCTCCTTGACTCGAGTACAGATCATCTGCTTTCAGTAGTACGGGCCTATACTACCTTCCACATCTATATGTACTTTCCTAAAATATTGCTTCGGTTTCACCAAGTCCCTTCTACTACTACTATATTTTGTTCTAATCTCATATTAGGCTTACCCTAAGATAACTCTCCATCCCACTCTTCGTCATCAGCTGCATAAGAAGTCCCTACTACCTTTACCTAACTAGCTCGTGAATACCATTACATATTACTAAGAACAGATAATTCTTCGAATGAGAGGTCCTGTCCTGCAATGGTTAGATTCAAACAAGAGCTGCAAAATAGGGTTAGACCTAACCTTTTGAAATTATTTAGTCCTCACAATATGTAATTTAGTGTATTCGTTTACTAGTTACCTAAAGATTTATAGGACTCCTAATAGCACAAAGCAAGTAGTATTCAGGCATTAAGTAACCAAAACCAAGCGTATCCTATCCAGACTATCATATCACTTTCTAATTAGTTCTATCATGCAGCTCAATAAGCACATATAACAGGCATATCAGGCATCTTCCTAGATCCTTATCCCTAATCTAGCATGCGGTTCTCATACACATACAACAGGCATAAAAGCATCCTTCCAAGATCCTTAGCCCTAATCTAGCATACAGTTTTCATAATCATATCATATCATAGCATAGAATGTATGGGAATCTTGCGGAAAACTTACCTGAGCTCGGTCGGTCGTGCACATCACACACCTTGTTCTTTCTCAAAACTCTTTACTTTAACTTTTGGAAAAAAAAACTATTTTCTTGTGAAAATGTTTCAAATCCTTAATTTGAGTCGAGACACTCCCGAATGTGTGTCCAAATCCCTCAAACCAAGGCTCTGATACCAACTCGTAACATCCCGATTTTCAAGACCAAAAATTTCATTTTTGATATAACGATTTAGAAAACATTTATAAGAAATTAAACATCATTGAGTCACATTATTTGATAAAACCATAATCACATGTTTCAAAACCATATCATGAAAATAGTAATAATGTTAGAGTACAATCCCAAGAATCTCATAATGCGGAAATCATGTTCGTATGTGATGCGCTACTACCGTGCCGACTCCTTCCCCTTCGAAGAAGATGTACCTTTAATCAAAATTGAAAACTGTAAGAACAAAGCTTAGTGAGTTCCTCCATCATATCTCATACTATACATAACATATACTGCATACATAACTGGGTACTTAAGATGATCGGGGCAAGGCGAAGACTTATAGTTTAAGTTTTATGTTTTAGGTACTTCAGATGATCGGGGCAAGACGAAGACTTGATTGTGCACATCCTTCAGTATCTATAAGAGTTGATTTTGGGATACTTTAATTTATGATTTTGACTTTTGGAAACTAAGTTTTGTAAAAATTTATTGTTCGTGGTTGGGTTTTGAAAAATAAAAATTTTACCTTGATTTTTTGGATGTTACAACATAGAACCATAATTCCAAGAATTTAATAATTGTAGCCATAAATGAATAGTACCTGAGAATCGGGTGTTACACTTCGGACTTCATTCATGGTTCAAATGTCGTTTGACAAGACATCAGATGTCTTCTAGTCAATAACACTCTTTTGATAAATACTACATTAATGATCAAATCATTCTACAATTTATGATTTTTTTGTCGTTAAGGATTGTACTGTTTGATATATAGATTGCTCCAACTTCGTAATTTCGTTTGAAAACTCCTGGCGGATGAATCGAAATGTGTATATATCAATAAAATGGCAACTAAATGTTAATCTGATATTAGGAGGTTACTATAATAAAGTTATCTAGCATCATTATAATTGGCATCTATGATTGTCGATGGAATCTAGTTTGTGTGGTGGTGGCGAAGGTGGTGGTTGGTGGCGGAGGAGAGGTGGTGGATTCATATACGAATTAATACACTTACATTTATATTCAGATATAAATATTACTCATACTCTATCGCAACCGTATCCTGAAATATTTGCGGTAAAAATAAATAATTGAATGACAATAATTCCCTCATTATGAACCCCTCTCTCTCTCTCTTTATATATATATATATATATATATATATATATATATATATATATATATATATATATATATATATATATATATATATATATATATATTACAAAGATGATATGTTAAAATTGAAAGACAATTGACATTGCATTCATTCATTATGGAGATGACTTTACTTGCAATAAAATATCCTAATCTTCCTGTTACATATGTTTAAGGGTGAAGGAGACGTGGAGTTGGTAGCCGACCCTGGATGGACAATTCCTAGTTGCCTGGATGTGATCTATTAGTGACAACAAATTTTTGCGCTCAAAATAAACTAAGAGCAGATGGAATAAGCTACTTCATAACAAAGTGAAGTTTTTTTTATGTCGAGACTTGGAATAAAGAGGATGCCGACTAAAGATACACTATTAAAAATAGGTAAGATATTGATAGTGATTTTTGTCATATGTGCTAAATACCGGTGAGAGTTCAAACCACATTTTCTTTGATTTTGTGCTGTCTAAATGTGTGGAGCAGCTTTGAAAACACTGAAACATAAATGTTACCATTGTTCACAACATATACTATATGTACAAGCTGATTGACAACCAAAAGTCGGATCGATTTTCTAGATTGGTCGTGGAAGCTGCAGTGGAAATAGTTGTTTAGCGATCAGGAGAATGAGGAATAATCTCCTTTTAAAAAGATAAAATGAGTCGCTATTTTATGTTTTTTAAACTGTGTTAACATATATGTCAACTAATATACGTTTGTACGATAGGCGTAAGCTAGCTCTATTTTCTTTCTTAAATTTTTGATCAAGCCGTTTTCCAAAAAAAAAAAAAAAAAAAAAAGGTAACCTTACCTAATCCAAAGCTCCAGACTAGTAAATAAAAGAAAGATAAAATATTGATGTAAAATAGCCTGGATGAAAAATATTCATTTGCAAGTTGTGAATTGCATCTCAATTCCTACCATAACTCGTTGACAAAGTCAGATCCACCCCTTCCATAATATAGATCATAGCCATACTATAAGTTGACATTCTTTCCCATTGGATACCAAAAAGAAACTCAGTTGCGAAGAGAAAAAAGAAAGATGGGGTGGACATGGAAGGAAGAACACTTGGATATAATCCTAGTCCCATCTGGGTTGTTGATCATGTGCGTCTATCACCTCTTTCTTCTCCATAGATATATCAAGCATCCGGAAACCACAGCGATCGGATATGAGAATCATAACAAAAAGGCATGGGTTGAAAAAATGCTTCTGGTATAACTTCAACCACTTGTATTTCATAACAAAATTGTCTTCTTTCTATATTTTCTTTAAAACTTTTCTTGAAATGATGCAGATTGACACCAAAGACAGAGGGTTTGTAGTAGCTGTTCTCAATAGCCACTTATCTGCTTCAACTTCCCTTTGTTCCATTTCTCTATTTCTATGTTCTCTTATCGGAGCTTTACTGGGAAACTCATCTAATAACTTTCTTACAAGCACTTTTATCTTTGGTGACACAAGTAAATCCACCAGCTCTATCAAATACATCGGCATTTTATCATTCTTCCTACTCGCATTTGCTTGTTTTGTACAAACTACAAGGCATTTTGTGCATGCTAGTTTCCTCATAAGCATGCCAACAGGTTCTGTTCCTGTTCTTTGCATCCAAAAGTCGGTGATAAGAGGAAACAATTTTTGGACAGTTGGATTGCGTGCACTCTACTTTGCAATCACTTTGCTACTATGGATTTTTGGTCCAATTCCTATGTTTGTTGGCTCTGTAGCTACAGTCATAATGTTGCATTTTCTAGATGTCAATAAAGCACCCATGATTGAGTATGGATCACACAAGGGTTCAAACAGTGATCACCTGCGGAATATTGGACATGAAATAGCTTCTGTGGTTAGGCCTTTTGAAGACAACGGAAGGCCATAGAGATAGATATGCACGAAAACCCCTTGAAATCTAGTTATTTCGAAGCTTAAAGCTCTATGTTCTTGCTTATTTGTTCTTTTTCTTTTGTTGATTCTAAGATGATTCTTATCATCAGAACCAGCTTAACTGGTTGGGTATTGTAATTATGCTTATAGATAAACAATAAATCTTGAGAATATCTACGACTATTACCGTTACATTTCTGTTATTTCTTCTAATCATAGTTAGTTTAGTAGTTTGGATAATCAGTTAACTTAATCATAGTTGTTAATCTGTTAGATGTATGTTAGCTAGATTTGCGTATAATAAGCTGTAATATAAAAAGTTCTTGAATATGTAAGAAAGTCAACAAAATGAATACAAAGAGATTCTTTCTTCATTTCTTTCTCTGTTAATATGGTATCAAAGCATTTTTTTTGCTTCCGCATCCCTGATTTCAATCTTTATTCTTGATTGTTCCTTTTTCATGATCTTTGATTGATTCCTTCTCTTTGATTGTTTTCTGTTTGATTGATTCAATCAATCCGTTCTATTTGTGTTCTTCATTAAGATCGTTCTTTTGATTTTCTCGATCTTTTGTTTTTGTCAAAATGTCTGGAGAAAGTTCTCAAAACTCAAATGTTTCTTCAGATGATCCGTATTTTTTACATCACTCGGATAATCCCGGCACTCTTCTTGTCAATCAACAGCTTACTCGAGAAAATTATGCGTCCTGGTCTCGGTCTATGACAATTGCCCTTTCAGTCAAGAACAAACTTGATTTTGTTACTGGAGATCTTCCTCAACCTCCGGCCACTGATGTAATTCGTTTCAAGGCCTGGAATCGCAACAACAATATTGTAATTTCCTGGATCCTAAATTCTATATCTAAAGAAATTTCTTCTTCAGTGATTTACCTAAAAACTGCTTTTGCAATTTGGAATGAACTCAAAGAAAGGTTTCAACAGAGCAATGGACCTCGCATATTTCAACTTAAGCATGATTTGATGAATACAGTTCAAGGACAAGATTATGTGAGTACGTATTTTACTAGGCTTAAAGTTCTTTGGGAGGAATTATCCAATTTTGATACTCATTGTACATGTGGTTTATGTACATGTGGAGGGGCAAAAGAAATTGAACACACTATGATGTTTCTTATGGGTCTAAATGATTCATATGCCCAAATTCGAGGGCAAATACTTCTCATGGATCCTATACCTGCAGTTAATCACATTTTTTCCTTGGTTATTCAAGAAGAAAGACAACGTGAAATTGGAAATAATCAATCTATGAACACTCCAATGGCTTGTAATGTTCAGAGTTTCAATAACAATTTGAACAATTCAAGAAATCGAGTTTCCAACAATAATTTCAACAAAGGTTCTAACAAGAACTCATCAATGTGTTCTCATTGCAAGCGTTCGAGACACACTGTTGATAAGTGTTACAAACTGCATGGATTTCCACCGGATATCGTTTCAATCAGAACTCAAATTCAAATAGTTCACGTGTGAATGCTGTTTCTGCTGCTACAGAGGGTCAGTCTTCCTGTAATGATACAAGCTCTCCAGTTACAAATCTTACCAATGAACAATGCCAACAACTTATTGCTATACTTACTGGTCAATTGGCTTCAGTGAATTCTGTTTCACATGATCATATTACCACTTCAGGTAATCACTATGTTCTGACTCTCTCTTCTAGCCATTACAATTTCAATATATGGATACTAGATACTGGAGCAACTAGGCATATTTGCAATGATAAAAATATGTTTCATGATATGGTAGATATCTCACATACTCGTGTTCTTTTACCAAACCAAATGGTTATTCAAGTTGAATGCATGGGAAAAGTTAACATAAATGAACATATCATTCTCACTGATGTTCTTTATGTGCCACAGTTTGAGTTAAATTTAGTATCAATTTCTCAATTGACTAAATTCAAAACTGTTAAGGCAAAATTTTATCATGATTATGCTATTTTGAAGCAGATACACACCAAGAGAATGATTGGCAATGCTAGAGTACATGCCGAACTTTATGTGCTTGAAGATATGCGTATAAGAGCACAAGCACAAGTGAATGTGAATGCAGTTTCAGCTGATTGTTGGCATCAACGGTTTGGACATCCTTCAAATGAGAAGTTGCAATCTATTAGTAGTATCACTGTTTCAAATAAAGATTTGAATAAAAGTGTATGTTCTATTTGTCCTTTAGCCAAACATAAACGTTTACCTTTTTAGTCTTTCAACAATATTGCAAATGAACCTTTTGAGTTGATACACTGTGATGTATGGGGGCCTTATTATGTAAAGGATTATAAGGGATATCAATATTTTGCAACTATTGTTGATGATTGCACTAGATTTACATGGGTATACATGATGAAGCACAAATCTGATGTTCAAAGTATCATTCCACGTTTCTTTGCTATGATTGAAACACAATTTAACACCAAAATTAAGGGTTTTCGGTATGATAATGCAAAGGAATTGGCTTTTACTGAGTTTTTCAATCAAAAGGAGTATTGCATCAATTCTCTTGTGTTCAACATCCAGAACAAAATTCAGTGGTGGAACGAAAGCACCAACATCTATTAAATGTTGCTAGGGCATTATTTTTTCAGTCAAATATTCCCACAACATATTGGTCTGAATGTATTTTGTGTGCTACATTCCTTATCAATCGTACACCTTCACATGCTCTTGATAATTTGTCCCCTTTTCAGAAACTTTATGAGTATCCACCAGATTATTCACGATTTCGGAGTTTTGGATGTTTAGCTTTTGCTTCAACACTTCTTAGTCACAGGGACAAATTTACTGCACGTGCCAGATGTTGTATTTTTATTGGTTATCCAATTGGAATGAAGGCATATAAAATGATGGATGTTGAGACAAAAGAAATATTCATATCTCGTGATGTTGTGTTTCATGAACATATTTTTCCTTTTAAACATTCCATATATAACCATCAGCCAGACCCTTTTCACTCAATGGTCATACCTTGCTCACAAGATGATACTTTTATTTCTGACCCTTTACCTGATTCATCTGTTACAATTGCTAATACAGATCCCATTCCCATTGTCAATGAAGATCATTCAGTTGGAAATCAAAGACCTCAAAGAAATAGAACCCGTCCAACTTATTTACAAGATTATCATTGTGGCCTAGTAAACAATGTGACCATTAATACTAATGCAAAACACCCTTTATCTTCTGTACTTTCTTATTCCAAACTTTCACCTAAATACCAAGCATTCACTCTTGCTATTTCAGCTGAGTCTGAACCACAATCCTATTCTGAAGCATCTAAATCTAAAGAGTGGCAATTAGCTATGCAAGAAGAATTGAAGGCTCTCGAAGCAAATAACACTTGGACGATAGTACCCTTACCTCCTGATAGAAAGGCTTTGGGTTCTAAATGGGTGTATAAAATCAAAAGACGTTCTGATGGTACTATTGAGAGATACAAGGCATGCCTTGTTGCCAAGGGTTTCAATCAACAAGAAGGTATCGATTTTCTGGATACTTATTCCCCTGTCGCTAAACTTGTTACTATCAAATTACTGCTAGCTTTAGCTGCTCAACGTTCTTGGCCTCTTATTCAATTGGACGTGAATAATGCTTTCTTAAATGGGTCTTTGGATGAAGAGGTTTATATGAAATTACCCCAAGGATATAGTTGTCATTTTGTCTCTTCAAATGGTAAACCATTTGTCTACAAACTAGAGAAATCTTTATATGGCTTGAGGTAGGCATCTCGTCAATGGTATGCCACCTTTTCTTCATTTTTACTTTCTCAAGGATTCACACAATTGAAAGCTGATTACTCATTGTTTTATAAGGGAAAAGGATCGTCATATGTAGCTCTGTTAGTATACGTGGATGATATTGTGTTAACAGGTGCTTCTCTTCATGAAATTGATTCTATTAAACAATCTTTAAGCAACAAGTTTAAGCTTAAGGATTTCGGAAAGTTACAACATTTCTTGGGTCTTGAAATTGCCAGATCAACAGATGGCATTTATATTTCTCAACGACAATATGTTCTCAATCTCCTAGAAGAAACTGGCATGTTAGCTGCCAAACCAGTCCATTATCCAATGGATCCTGCATGTAAAGCATCAAATTTCAATGGAGCACCCTTATTGGATCCTTCTCAATATAGACGTTTAATTGGACGGTTAATGTATTTAACCATAACACGACCAGACATTACCTATGCAGTAAATAGGTTAAGTCAATTTGTTACAGATCCAAGATTACCTCATCTTCAAGCTGCTAATCATTTGCTCAAGTTCCTCAAACTCAATCCTGGTCAAGGATTGTTTTTGTCTTCCAAACCTTCTTTAAAGATTACAGCTTTTTCTGATTCTGATTAGGCAGAATGTCCGTATACTAGAAGATCTATTTCTGGTTTTTGTGTTTTTCTAGGAGACTCCATGATTTCTTGGAAATCAAAGAAACAATCCATTGTTTCTAGATCATCCACCGAAGCTGAGTACCGAGCCATTGCTATTGCTACAACTGAGATTATTTGGTTTCATCATTTGCTGAGCAATTTTGACATTCACACTCATGAGCCTACTTTGATTTTTTGTGATAATGAATCAGCAATCAAGCTTGCATCCAATCCAACCTTTCATGAACGCACGAAGCATATCGAAATCGATTGTCACTTCATTCGAGATAAGATTTTAGATAATACAATCAAGCTCATGCCCATACGCACAACACACCAATTAGCTGACATTTTTACTAAACCATTACCCCGACATAAGATGATTCCTATAATGGCCAAGATGGCTTTGAAAAACATTTTCCAAAGTCCATCTTGAGGGGGGGTATTACCGTTACATTTCTGTTATTTCTTCTAATCATAGTTAGTTTAGTAGTTTGGATAATCAGTTAACTTAATCATAGTTGTTAATCTGTTAGGTGTATGTTAGCTAGATGTGCGTATAATAAGCTGTAATATAGAAAGTTTTTGAATATGTAAGAAAGTCAACAGAATGAATACAAAGAGATTCTTTCTTCATTTCTTTCTCTGTTAATAACGACTATGTTATGTTTCGGATACTAGA